GTCCCTGCCTCCAACAATGAGCATAGTCTAGTTCTTCTTGAGAAACCGGACTTTTATCATTAACATATTGGATTAGGAGTTGACACATTACATCCTCATTTGACCCATACGTTGGCCAGAAGATTGAGGGTTTGAGGATGGAACCTTGGGTCCAAATGAAGCAGCAATATTTTATAATTTGCTGCTTCTTCTTGGGCTTAGTCCTCTCATTATCTTTCCAATATTTTAACATGAAACCTAGGGGACTATGAGGGGGTATATCCTTGTTACTATTTTTATCCTTCTTACTCTCCGTCTTTCTTGGGGTATTTCCTATATTGGGTCTTAGCTAGGCTCAATCCCTCATATAAGGGATTTCTTGCCTACTAGAGGCTTGCTGTGGCTCCGTCCCTCATATTAGGGATTTTTTTTTTTTTTCTATCTGGAGCTTTCTGTGGCTCAATCCCTCGTATTAGGGATTTCTTGCCTATCTTTTAGCCCCACCTCGTGGAGGCTCTTCACACTCTTCTCCTTTCACTTCATCCACTCTGCCCGCTTTCCTCCTGGGAATATTTCAAGGCCCGCTTAGCACTGGCAGGACTATAACCCCAACCTCAGGATCCTTCCGAGAAGGCTAAGCCATATGAGGCAACCGCGGATCCGAAGATTGGATTCATTCACTCCGCACAGCAGTAGCGCTTGTTACCATTCATGGACTTTCAACCACCAGAATGTAATGACCACCAAGGAAGTACTTTGTCACTCCTGCGACATTTGTTACCTTGGTCTGCGCACAGAGTTACCTGGTCGCCATGGTGTTGCAAGCCTTTTTCTCCCCGCGTTGTTGAGAGTCAGGTTATTCATCACACAGGGTGGGTCTCAATTCCTTACTCGTGAGGCCACTGCAACAAGGCAGCAGGACACGTCTCCTCAGGAGAGGTGATCAAAGACCCTTTCCCAGAGGAGAATTTTTTCACCATATGGACCACCAAATTTGTTGGAAACAAATGCTCGGTGCTGCCAAGAAGAACTAGCACTGAGACAAAGGACAAAAGGTCTCTCAGCAAGGCAAATTTACTTTTGCAGAAGAGTTCCTGATGAGTCCAGTTGCCACAAGAGCACCCCGAACAAAGGAAAGCAGAGGTCTTTATCTCTAACGCAGCTTGTCCCTGCTACTGTGTCCTGCCTCCATTGACTGGAGTTGTACCGCACGATCTAAGCTGAACCCGGTTGGCTAACTTGAAAAGTGCGGGAATGCGGTTACACTGTTGGGAAGGCAGGAAGATCAGTTTTGGTGGGAGAAGCCGTTCCCATGAGAGGGGTAATTCACAGAGTGGGTAGCAGATGTGGAATGTGGACTATCTAGATAAGGATTGGCAGGAAGGTTGTTTAGCAGGGTAGGGGGAACACAGAGAGTAAGGAAGTCTGGCCCTGAAAGCAGGCTAAACTTTTGAAGAAGAATTTCTTACTGTACTTAACAATAATTTTAAACACTTATGTGGTTATTTCTAATATTTCATGATAATTCACCTTTAGGAAATGGTATCTCAAACCCCAAAATGCCAGAAGGTTACCTGGAAGAGAACTGGTGTCTGAAAGCAGGACTGTAGCCGTGGGCATTGACGCACAGGCGCCGTCTGCCAGTTCATCTCTTACTAACAGATGCCAACTGTTCAGGCACTATTTGCTTCTATTAAAATAGTGTCTAGGCAGGGCGCGGTGGCTCACGCCTGTAATCGCAGTACTTTGGAAGCCCAAGACAGGCGGATCATAGATCAAGAGATTGAGATCATCTTGGCCAACATGGTGGAACCTCATCTCTACTAAAAATAGAAAAATCAGCTGGGCATGGCCGGGCACAGTAGCTCACGCCTGTATTCCCAGCACTTTGGGAGGCTGAGGCAGGCAGATCACAAGCTCAGGAGATCGAGACCATACTGGTTAACACAGTGAAACCCCATCTCTACTAAAAATACAAAAAATTAGCCGGGAGTGGTGGTGGGCACCTGTAGTCCCAGCTACTTGGGAGGCTGAGGCAGGAGAATGGCGTAAACCCAGGAGGCGGAGCGTGCAGTGAGCTGAGATCACGCCACTGCACTCCAGCCTGGGTGACGCAGTGAGACTCCGTCTCAAAAAATAAATGAATAAATAAATAAAATAAAAATTAGCTGGGCATGGTGGCACACGCCTGTAGTCCTAGCTACTCGGGAGGCTGAAGCAGGAGAATTGCTTGAACCACGGAGGTGGAGGTTGCAATGAGCTGAGATCGCGCCACTGCACTCCATCCGGGTAACAGAGGGAGAATCCTTCTCTAAAAAAAAAAGTTTCTAGTCTTATTATTTCAACATTTCAAAAAGTCTTTGTATTGTTTAAGATCTAAGTGTCTTAATTAGATGTATCCCAGGTACTAGCGTATATCCCAGGTACTAGTCAATTAACTGTGTCATTCAAATGTGTTGCTACTAGTGTTTCTTATTATACATTTTTAAAGAGAAAAATGTCTGCTAATAAATATATTCAGAATACCAGGAAGCCTACCACAGGAGCTGATGACATCCCCTACAAAGACAAAAATGTAACCTCAAGGAAAAAGACACTCCTGAGAGTAAATCTCATCTCCTGGGAAAGACAGCACTGTCTTCTATGGATACAGAAAAGGAGAAGATTTAACACACTAAGCCCTTTAGTTCACTATAATTTAGCCCATTTCCCCTGTTTCTTTATTCTATTTCTGCTTCTCTACCGATGTACGCAAAGAAGACTGAAATAAAGAACCAGAGGAAAGCTTTGCAGGAGAGAACGCTGTGGACCCACCTCATCTTGGTTGGTCTTGCCTCTGGAAGAGCAGTGCTGTGGGCATCTCCTGGTCTTTTTATGCTGCCACCAGCTCACCTCTCCCCCTTCTCCATTTCGTAATTCCTGTGTCTACATAACTTTGGCCCTGACAAGGTCACTATCTTTTCCAGTAACAAAACCACAAACATTACCCCTATTAAGAGTTGAGCTCTTGATTCACACTTGATTTTCCTGTGGTGTTCTTGTTTTGTTTGTTTTTTTCTTTTTTCTTTTTTTTTTTTGAGACACAGTTTCGCTCTTGTTGCCCAGGCTGGAGTACAACAGCATGCTCTCAGCTCACCACAACTTCCACCTCTGAGGTTCAAGCAATTCTCCTGCCTCAGCCTCCCGAGTAGCTTGGATTACAGGCATATGCCACCATGTCTGGCTAATTTTTTGTATTTTTAGTAAAGACGAGGTTTCTCCATGTTGCTCTGACTGGTCTCAAACTCCCAACCTGAAGTGATCCGCCTGCCTCAGCCTACCAAAGTGTTGGGATTACAGGCGTGAGACACCGAGCCCAGAACCCTCCTGAGAGCTTTTGATCATCTTTCTCTCAAGTCCTGATTTGTATTTTTGATCCTATCTTAGTTGCTTTCCATTCCACAAGTATTTATTAAGTGCCTGCTGTATGCCATATCCTATGCTCACAGCTACATAAGTACAGATGGCTCCTTAAAGGAGGCAGTGTCTGCATGTTGAAGGAGAGTAGGAGGTGTTTATACAGCAAGGGGAAGGGAATTTCAGCAAAGGGGCCCCAAGAAAATAAAACCCAGGGGCTGGAGACGGCCAGATGTGTCAGAGAACAACATGGAGTTTGGTGTTGCAGAAGCCCACAGGCTGAGGCCAGGAGGTGGTGCTGGGGAGGAAGGCAGAGAAGATGAGCGATCAAGAGAATGCCACAGCTTTTCTCTTACTGTTATTTTACCAGAGCCACTTACTTAATACGATCAGACAATTCTTTAAGAAAACTGGGGAATAGCTTGTTCTTCCAAGAAACTTGGTGCTGAAGAGAACTACAAGAGGAAAAGGTGTAAGTGACTGTGTTCTGAGAGGCTTTTTTTTAAGAGGTATATTATTTTCCAGTTTGTGGCTATTATGTCTTTCACAGGTTCTAGAATACAGGTCTTATTGGCCTACTAGCGCTAACCTGTTGAAGTTTATTGATGAATCTGCAGGGTGCCTGTGAGGAGAGCTTCAGAGAGATGGCCAGACCCTGGTGAGAGAGAGTGACATCAGTGTCGTTTTACATCCTGCAAAGGAGGGGCCGTATTTTGGCATAAGAAGAAGGCACATTGGTGATTGGTGGTATTGAAGGCTTATAGCAAGAGAAAATTCCGTTAGAAAGCAACTTACTGTTTATCAGAGCTTCCAGAACCTTTCTCGGGAGACCCCTGGATAGCGTGACCTGCCATCAGGAGAGGAGGCTCAGCGCTTGCATTTGATTCCTGGCGAAGGGTGGGTTTGTCTCCAAGTAGGAAAAGCAGCTTGTACTGAGGCAGGGACTCTACCTCCCACCTCTTTCAGAGTCCCGGAAGGTTATTGCTGATAGGACATTACATTGCCTGGCTCAAGTCCTTCATGGAAGAGACCAGGAAACTGATGGCCAGAAAGCCTAAATTACTTAGCAAATTATGGACCAATCTGTGATTTGCACACTCAGCAAGTCACAGAATCCTGCCTTTACATCATCGTCTTTTGTTTTTCTGAGTGCTGTAGTGTTATATCCAAACTCTGAGTACTGTCTGTGTCAAAACACTCTTTCCCCATCCCATTTTAGCTAAGCCTCTTCCCTCACCAGGCCACGCCTTTCTCCTAATTCACTTTGAGAGGCAACAGCATGCAGTGAAAAGAGCTCTGAGTTTGTATCAAACAGGGCTGGGTTCAAAGTTCTGCTTCAGTGTTTCATGGCTATGTAACCTTAAGCAACTCACTTACCATCTCTGAGTCTCTGTTTCCTTCTCTGTAAAACAAGGACAACAGTTGCCTTTCTGGGGCCTAGCATTCAATAGGCACTCAGTCAGTGAGCATGATTCCCTAAGGTGGAAGAGTTTGTATCACCTTCGGGATTTCCAGTGGGTTTGGGGTGTTCTCTTCCATAATCCCAGTAGACTCTATACCTTCTGGCTACCCTGGACCATAAAGGAGTGAATAAAGAAGTCTCAAGAGTGAACACAACACAGAAATGAGTCAAAAGAAAGCTCTTTATTGATTGACTCAGCAACGCAGGGCTGGCACCCATCAGCTTCAAACCACATCTTATCCCGTCCACTCTTGTCCATTCCCGTCCACTTTGTCCTCTTCCAGGCTGGAATCTTGCTTTCAGGCAAGGGCTTCCGGCCAGGCTTGCATTAGTTCTCGGCTATGGTTTTCTGAACCCAGTCCTGGATGGAAGTCGCCTTCACATACACACCATACTCAGCCACACCACAGCTCTTATCAAAGCTTAGGATCCCAGCCGCGTACCAGGTGTTCTTCTCCATGTCGTGAACGGCAAAGGCAGTGCCTGCATCGCCATCGCAGGTGTCTTCCTGGTACTTAGACATGCCAGCACAGAAGGTGTGTTCATTCAGTATGGGCTGCACCCCTACAGGGTTCTTTGGTGTCTTCTTTTTGGGGCCTTTGCTGCCTTCGTAGTGCTTTATGCAATTGTATTGGTCAGCCACAGGCAGCATGACATACTTCAGATGGTCAGTGAATTTAAAATTGGCATTTCGCCCCCAGCCAGACACGTAACCCACACGCCCTACTTCTGCATAATCCTTTGAAGGTAGGCAGATGGGCATCACTCTCTCATTAACAGGCACCTTCTGTTTGAGTTTGATGAGCCCAATATCTACCTGGGAGTAGTTAGGGTGTAGAACCACCTTCTCAATCTCTACAAGCTGCTTTTTCCCCACATAGAGTGTTAAAGTAGGGGCAATGTCTTTCGCTGTTGCGTTTTCTGAATGGTTCAGGAAGAGATTTTTAGCCGTGGTCAGCAGCCATTGTTCATTGATCAGCGTGGCCCCTGTGGTGAGATTATGGCGGGAAACCATCTTAGCCTGCCAGGGAAAGCTGCCTTTGGCATCCAGGTGTCCACCCAGGATCCGCTGCACTGCGTCTGCCGGATTCTTGGGCTTCCCACACACTGTCAAGGAGAGCAAGACACTCGTGAGTGGAAATGTGCAAGGGCCTTTCCATCTGAGAAAGAGGGGTAAAAGCATGGGCGGCTGTCACTGCTGCGTAAACTACAAAGATTTAAATGCTTTGCCCTTACTGCCTGCTCATCTCATTCCCAAAGTTGCAGTTTTAAAATAATTTTTTAAATTGTTTACATTACAAAAAACTCTACTTCTAACTAAGGAAATTAGAAATACTGAGTTTTTTGAGCCCTGGCTGGTGAATTATATTTAAGCGGTTATCCCAACAAAGGAATTTCCACAATTCCCTGAAATTCATTGAAAGGTCTAGGGGCCAGACGTGGTGGCTCACACCTGTAATCCCAGCACTTTGGAAGGCCGAAGCAGTTGGATCACCTGAGATCAGGAATCAGCACCATTGCACTCCAGCCTCGGCAACAAAAGCAAAACTCTGTCTCAAAAAATAAAAAACAAAGAAAAAGAAGAAGAAAGGGCTAGGAACTATAATAATTCATTATCTCAGAAGAAAGAGGAATCTAGAGCAACATTGACTGGAGCTCAGATTTTGTAGATGTTGCAGTTATTATGAGGCAGGTTGGTAGTTCCACACCAGTAAGAGCCGAAGAGGCTGAGCCTTTGCCTCTGGTTCCGAGAAGGAAAGGAGAGAACAACAGCTCCTGCTAATAACGAGAAGCAGCAGTCCCAGCCCACGTCCAGCCTCCTTCTAGGCTTCCGTGGATTAAGATTGTATGTTATCCCTTGACTTGTTCTCCCTGGAGCTTGCTTCTCTTTAGACCCAGGGCTCTCTAGCAGGTTCTCTGTATGCACAGGCTCTCCTGATCTGTGGGCAGTGTAGACAGTGGATTCAGCCAGTGCCCTTCAGGCCCCAATAAACAAGACCCTTGGTGACCTTTAGGGAGTCATCACCTAACTGCTTAAGTCTCTCCCTGGCCAGCTGCGGTTCTCCCACATCCCTCCTCCTGGCTCTTGTGTGCTCAGAGGAAGCCGCGCTGGAAGGCTGTGCCTCGAGGACGTTCCCACCCGGAAGTCTGCCTGCACTGGAAAGTGCTCAGCACCCACCTGCTTCACATTCAGGAAGTTTATCTCCAACAGCCTTATTTGTCCACTGCTTCTCATTGTTTAAGGTGTACACTCCTGAAACAAAAGGCAAGAAATGAGCCAAAGGAAAAGTCAAGTCTGCACCCCGAGCAGAGTGAGAAGGCATTTAAAGAGAAGAATTAAAAGGAAGAGGAAAAGGGGACAAATAGGAAGGGGAAAAGGAGAGAGAATATGAGGAGGAGGGAAAGAGTGCTGTGCTGGAAACCAAGTGCCTGGACTCCAGTTACGCCCAGCAGAACACACTGTGGTCATGTTGGTCATAGCCAGGCAGCACACGGAGGGCTCGGGGTTCAAATCCTGACTGCGTCTTACAGGCTGCCTGAATTTGGGCAAGAGACTCAACCTGTCTGTGCCTCTGTTTCCTTATCAGCAAAGTGAGAACAATGACCTCTATTCAGAGGGATATTGTGAGGACTAAGTGAGCAAATAAATATGAAGCACTTAGAGCAGTGCCAGGACAGCAGGACTCACTAGGTGAGGGTGACCTGTCGTCATCAGCGTTCCTTCTTTTCTCACATCTCCCGCTGGAGATGGAAATCTGACTCTGAGATAGGTAGGCTGCATGGCATGGCCTCCCCTTAACAAAACAGAAAACTTGAGGCTGACAAAAGTTCGTCTGCCCAAAGGGCCACAGCTACTGACAACAAAACACTTATTAGAATCTAAATCTCCTGGCTCCAAGGAGAGCAGTGAACTTTCTGGCAAATCACCCCAGCACCGCCCATAGGGCATAGAGACAGTTGTCCACGTCTTACCATCTCCTTCTGTGCGCAGCCTGTAGTAGTTCTTACACTGGTAGCGAACCGAGTGCTCCACGTAGCCATTTGCGATCATAGGGGGCTTCAGGAAGCTGTCATCTGCAAAGAGAGAGAAGCAAGAGAGTTTACTATTTGGAAATTGTTCCCAGTGAACCATGAAAAGTCAGATGAGTGGAAGCTGCTCTGCACATCAATCTCCTTCCACCCTGAATAGAAGCCAATGGAAGCACAAGCTCCCCTCATTTCTGGCAGGAACCCCAATGTTCTTCACGGTCCTGAAAGCCCAGAGGTCAAGATAAGAAGGGGCAGCTGGGTGTTCTCAGAGAGAGAGTGCAGACCCGAGGGGGTCAGAGGGGGATGCGGCGGCGCCCAGAATGCACGCTCCTACCCAACCAAAGACTGACCTGCGATATCCGTGACATCGTTGCCTGAGTCCACTGCAAAAAGCCGTCCCCAGAGCAGGAGGGCAACAACAGCTCCCAGAGCACTGCAGAGAGAAGACAGGAAGGAGTGGAAAGCTGGTCTCCCTGCTTCACAGCACATGCATGCATCCACACACACACATGTGTGTACCCACACACACGCACACATGCCTACACACACACTCCTCCCACTTAGCAGCCAGAAAGAAAATCGATATATGGATGTGCTAGGTCCAAGAAGTTACCCCCACCCCTGCAGACACATGCTTTAGCAGCTTCTGAGCGTGCCAAGCTTCCAGCAAGCTCTGTCCTGCTGGGAATTCTGCAGAAGCTTCAGAGAGGGATAGGAAGGCACGTGGGTGTGGGCGAGTAGGGGCTCAGTTTCTGGCTGCATTCAGGAAAGTACATTGGCAGTAATAGAGGAGCCCTCCAGGAAGGAGAAACCTCCCTCAGGCACCCCAAAGATACTGGTAATGAAATGTAGATAACTCAGAGATGGGAACTTAGGACTTTTTATGCTATTCCTCTACTTCTTGATATTTTCCATAATAAAAGTTTCCTTAAATACACAATTTTTTTTTTTTTTTTTTTGAGATGGAGTCTTGCTCTGTCACCCAGGCTGGAGTGCAGTGGTATGATCTTGTCTCACTGCAAGCTCCGCCTCCCGAGTTCACACCATTCTCCTGCCTCAGCCTCCTGGGTAGCTGGGACTACAGGCACCTGCCACCATGCCCGGCTAATTTTTTGTAATTTTAGTACAGATGCGGTTTCACTGTGTTAGCCAGGAGGGTCTGATCTCCTGACCTTGTGAGTCACTGCGCCTGGCCTCCTTATATATATACTTTTAAACATATGGTTATTTCTAGTATTTTATGATAGTTCATCTTTAGGAAATGGTATCTCAAACCCCAAAATGCCAGAAGGTTACCTGGAAGAGAACTGGTGTCCAAAAGCAGGACTGTGGCCATGGGCATTGACGCACAGGTGCCATCTGCCAGTTCACCACCTCGCTAACAGATGCTGCCCATTCAGGCACTAATACTTCTATTAAAATAGTTTCTAGGCCGGATGTGGTGGCTCATGCCTGTAATCCCAAAACCTTGGGAGGCCGAGGCAGCCAGATCACGAGGTCAAGAAATCGAGATCATCCTGGCCAACTTGGTGAAACCCCATCTCTACTAAAAATACAAAAATTAGGTGGACATAGTGGTGCACACCTGTAGTCCTAGCTACTCGGGAGGCTGAGGCAGAAGAATCACTTGAACCCAGGAGGCAGAGGTTGCAGTGAGCCGAGATCGCACCACTGCACTCCAGCCTGGTGACAGAGCGAGAATCCTTCTTAAAAAAAAAAAAAAAAAAAAATCTAGTCTTCTTATTTCAACATTTTAAAAAGTCTTTATTTTTATAAGATCTAAGTGCCTTAATTAGTTGTATCCCAGGTACTAGTGTATATCCCAGGTACTAGTCAATTAATGTGTCATTCAAATGTGTTACAATTAGTCTTTTTTATTATATATTTTTAAAGAGGAAAATATCTGCTAATTAATATACTCAGAATGCCAGGAAGCCTACCACAGGAGCTGATGACATCCCCTACAAAGACAAAAATGTAACCTCAAGGAAAAAGACACTCCTGAGAGTAAATCTCATCTCCTGGGAAAGACAGCACTGTCTTCTATGGATGCAGAAAAGGAGAAGATTTAACACACTAAGCCCTTTAGTTCACTATAGTTTAGCCCATTTGCCCATTTCTTTGTTCTATTTCTGCATCTCTACCAATGTACGCAAAGAAGACTAAAATAAAGAACCAGAGGAAAGGCAGGAGGGAAAGCTGTGGACCCACCTCATCTTGGTTGGTCTTGCCTCTGGAAGAGCAGTGCTGTGGGGCATCTCCTGGTCTTTTTATGCTGCCACCAGCTCACCTCTCCCCCTTCTCCATTTCGTAATTCCTGTGTCTACATAACTTTGGCCCTGGTAAGGTCACTATCTTTTCCAGTAACAAAACCACAAACAATACCCCTGTTAAGAGCTGAGCTCTTGCTTCACACTTGATTTTCCTGTGGTGTTCTATTACCCCGAAGAAACCTGGCACCTCTGTGACCTACGAACCTGCCAAAGTATTTCCCGAAATCAGCAACTGGGCACGACAGGGCAGCAGCAGGAGCCATCAGTCTCTTTATCTTGGAGGATTTTCACGCTGTAGAAGGCCTTACTTTGAGTTGTTTTAAACCCATTGTAGACATTTCTGCAACCTAGCTTAGATGGGCTCTAAAGAAAGAATTCCCTTTTCACAGTAATTTTCTCCACCTTGTGTGTGGACATCTCCCTATTGCTTAAAAGCTCTCCAGCCTGAAATCAGTAAATGTGTTTATTGTGTCTTCCCTGATTGTTCTTTGCAAGAAATCACACAACTAGTTAAAGCTGTAGTGTAGACCGACACAGACCATACTCAGTGGCAGTGGTTCTTATGGTTTTATAGTCTGTTGATTAGCCTAAATAGGCAGATGAGAAAAATCAGTATGTCTAAGTCAAATGTCTGCACCTGTGTGTATGCCAAGTACCAGTCAATTGAAATTTAGTAGCAACTCGATAAAAGGTTGATTTATTCGTTAAAAAGGGTTAGTGGTTCTTAAATTAGAGTGTACAAAAGAATTACTTCTGGATAATCATGGTGACACTGATGTAGCAGCAAAGTAACTAGAAACAAGACAAATGCCCATCAACAGGAGAAAGGGTCAATACTGCGTTGTATGTGGATATAATGGAATATCATACAGCGTAAAATGAATAAACTCTGCAAGAACATGGATAATCTTATAAACATAATTTTTGAAAGAAAAGTGCAAGTTTCAGAAAATTACCTTCAGTATGATAGCAGTCTTCTAGACATCAAAACCAAGTAAAACTTGGCAATGGATTCTTAGATATGACACCAAAATCACAAGCAATCAAAGAAAAATTAGATAAATTGGGCTTCATTGGAATGAATGTTTGTGCATCAAAAGACATATTAAGAAAATGAAGACAGGTCAGGCGCAGTGGTTCACGCCTGTAATCCCAGCACTTTGGGAGGCTGAGGTGGGCGGATCACGAGGTCAGGAGTTTGAGACCAGTCTGACCAACATGATGAAACCCCATCTCTACTAAAAATACAAAAATTAGCTGGGCATGGTGGCGCATGCCTGCCTGTAATCCCAGCTACTCAGGAGGCTGAGGCAGGAGAATTGCTTGAACCCAGGAGGCAGAGGTTGCAGTGAGCCTAGATCGCACCACTGCACCCCAGTCTGGGTGACAGAGCAAGACTCTGTCTCAAAAAAAAAAAAAAAAAAAAAAAAGTGAAGACAATCTACAGAATGGGAGAAAATATTTTCAAGTTATATATCTGATATTATCCAGAGTGTTTCCTACTACAACAACAAAAAGACAAACAATTAAAGCATAGGGAAAGAATTTAAATAGACATTTCTCCAAAAAATATACATAAAGTGCCAAAAAGCACATAAAAAGATACTCAGGACTCAAGGCGGTGATTCACACCTGTAATCCCAGCACCTTGGGAGACCGAGGCGGGTGGATCACCTGAGACCAGGAGTTCGAGACCAGTCTGATCAATATAAATACGGTGAAACCCCATCTCTACTAAAAATACAAAAATTAGCCAGGAGTGGTGGCATCCACCTGTAGTCCTGGCTACTACTTGGGAGGCTGAGACAGGAGAATTGCTTGAACCTGGGAGGCAGAGGTTGCAGTGAGCCGAGATTGCACCACTGCTCCAGCCTGGGCAACAGAGCGAGACTCCATCTCAAAAAAAAAAAAAAAAAAAAAAAAGTCACTCAACACCATTGAAAAATGTCAATATGGAAATTTGCAAATCAAAACCACAACGAAACACCACTTCACAACCTACTAGGATGGCTACAAATCGTGTGTGTGTGTGTGTGTGTGTGTGTGAAATGTTGGCAAGGATGTGGAAGAGTTAGAACCCTGGTACATTACCTTACTAGTAAGAATGTAAAATGGTGCAGCTACTGTAGAAAACAGTTTTGTGGTTCCTCAAAAAGCTAAGCATAGAATGGCTATCTGACCCAGCAATTCCACTTCAAAGTATAAACCCAAAGACTTAAAAGCAGAGACTCAGAGACTTGTACACCAATGTTCATAACAGCATTTTCACAAAAGGTAGAAGCAATGCAAGCATCCATCCACAGATAAATGGATAAACAAACCGTATTATATACATACAATGGAATATTATTCACGTATAAAAAGGAATGAAATTGATACATGCTACAACATGAATAAACTTTGAAAACATACTAAGAGAAAGAAGCCAGACACAAAGGGACAAATATTACTTGATTCCACTTATAATAAGGTATCTAGAATAGGCAAATGCATAGAAACAAAAGTAGATTCGACTTTACTAGGGGCTGGGAGAAGCAAGAAATGGGAAGTGATGCTTAATGGGTACAGAGTTCCTGTTTGGGGTGATGAAAAAACTTTGGAAACTGATAGTGGTGATGGTTGCAGAACATTGCTAGTGTAATAAATGCTGCCGAATTGTACACTTCAAAATGGTTAAAATCAGAAATTTTGTGTTATAAATATTTTAGCACAAAAAACTCAAGAAGTAAATAAGTAAATAAAGTTATCTTTATTGGAGTAAAAGAAAGAAAGAAAGAAACAAGCAAGACTCAGCACTATGTTGCTCAGGCGTAGATATCAAAGAGTCAAAACTGTGTTTTTAAATTTCTTGTTGGAATGGAAAACCCAAAATATAAAATGTTTCATCTCATGGGGAGGTAAGAGGAAAGTATAAGAGAAAGACACTTAGGTAAATATAAATAAATTGTTAATGACCCAGCTTTTGGGCTGGGTAGTAGGTTCATTAACGTACATTATATTATTGTGCTTTATTTTTAATAAAACACATATATGCCCACACATATATGTCCCATATAATATTTTATAAGTATTAAATAAAATATTTTAAAATATGAAGGAGGGAGGGACTCATCCTAAGGACATAGTGAGAGGCCCCTTTTCCATGAATTGGATCCAGTAGGTCTGCATGAGGATGCGAAAATCTACATTTCAAGCGTCCATAACTTCCCACCCTTGCAGGTACGAGGCAATAGACTGCAACTCTTCAGTCATAAGCAGGAGCTCATTTCTCCACCCCTGGAATCTGGGGTTGGCTCTGTGACTATGTTGAAATAGTAGCAGACGTAACAAGGATAGTCTTGAAATGTGCTTGTGAATTGGGGTTTGCCTGCTTTTACAACACCTGGAATCTGGGAGCCGCCCTGTGAATGAGCCCAAGTTATTCCTCCATTGCTGGAGAATGAAATGTCCCCATAGAGCAGAACCCAGGCATCCCACCTGACAGCCAGCCAGCCCCAAATTCCAGAAGCCTTCCACAGGTGCATGAGTGAGCTCCTGCCAAGATCAGCTGAAACTGGTCCTGACCAAAACCACCTCCAGCTAAGCCCACATTGCTGACCCACAGAATCATAAGCTAAATAAAAGACGACTCTTCTAAGCTACAAAGCTTGGGGAAGACTCATTAGGTAGCAAATGTTAACCAGTAGAACCGGTGTATGGAATGATGGAAATAGCTGCTCTGACTAAATCTAGAGTGAAGGTATTAGAATTCTGCTCCCTAGGTCCCTGGGTTCCTGCTGTCCTCTGTCACAGCTTGTCTTTACCTGTGCTTTGCCACCCAGTTTTTCCTTCAATGGCCAGAAGGAGGGAGCTACACCCTACGTTTTCCAAAGAGAACCTGTGCTGTAGACCGTAAAGGATTCCACTGAAACTGGAACACTTCTGTCCTATGGCATCCTCATGCCCTCCTCCCCCTCCCAGCTCATCCAGTCCATCATTCCTCCCCACAGAAACTGTCAAACCTCAGCCTTTCACAGTCCTCTATCTAGAGTCTTGCAAATGTCACAGCCCCAGGCTTCTTTTTTCTTTTCTGTCCAGTTGCTGCTACTTTTCCACAGAGGGAAAAGATGGCCTCTATTTCTGCAGCTCTGTGGGTCCCCAGGGAAGTGGGGAGAACGCCGGTCCTATGAAATGGAGGGAGAGACTTCCTCCTCGGACTGGTGCCCTCCTAGGGTGTCTAAAATGAACCATTTCTCACCACTGCTGTAGAACAATTGTTTACTCACTAGGTGCATGAAAATTCACATTCTTCCTCTGAACATACCCTGAACTCTATTACTCTGACCCCTTGTCTTGGGCAACAGCGGAGCATTCACACACAGCCTTCCTGCCCTGGGCGTCTTTCATTAACTTGAGAAACAGAATCCAGCCCCAAGGCTTCTCTCTTTCATTGGACAAGTCAAGATGAGAGATAGCAAGTCAGAAGACTCCACCAAGGAAAGCAGGAATGTATTTTGTTGGGAGAATAGAAAGAGCAGGAAAGCTTGAAATATTAATAGGCCAGGACAGCAGTTGACAGAGGAGCTTGAAGGGGAGAGTTTTGATTTTAGAAGGAAAAAATGATTTTTTTTTTTTTTTGAGACAGAGTCTCACTCTGTTGCCCAGGCGGGAGTGCAGCGGCCGGATCTCAGCTCATTGCAAGCTCCGCCTCCCGGGTTCCCGCTATTCTCCTGCCTCAGCCTCCCGAGTAGCTGGGACTACAGGCGCCCGCCGCCTCGCCCGGCTAGTTTTTTGTATTTTTTAGTAGAGACGGGGTTTCACCGAGTTAGCCAGGATGGTCTCGATCTCCTGACCTCGTGATCCGCCTGTCTCGGCCTCCCAAAGTGCTGGGATTACAGGCTTGAGCCACCGCGCCCGGCCGAAAAAATGATTTTTAAAAGTTCACTCTGGGCCGGGCGCGGTGGCTCAAGCCTGTAATCCCAGCACTTTGGGAGGCCGAGACG